CGTTACATCTAGATCGTCTTGCCCATCTTCTTTGCACTGGCTGAGGTGGCTTAGAACATCTACTGATGTCACTACATTGCCTCTGACCGCGAGGTCCTACGGTTCGTCTTCAGGTAGTGACAGGCTTTTTGACATTAGCGAGGTCGCTTTCAGCTACGGTATAGATAAGAATTCTAGCAGTCGTCTGCTCTGATCGGCAATTTTCTGTGGTTTCTCCAACCAATACTAGACGAATACAGGAGCAGTACCCTAAGAAACGGAACCACAGATTTCTTTCCCTTCAATCTCCTATTTTAACCCTTTACTTACACTTTCATGCACAGCCAAAGACGTCGGGAGACTGGCGAAAGCTTACAGTTTGCCGTTTGTTGAGGCGGTGCCCCTTTTGAGGGAGATACTTAAATGAGGAAAATCCTGCAAGTTGACATGTATGTCGGCGCCGGATCTCACCATCCAGCGGGGGATGATCTACGCCATCTGCCGTGATAAAAACATGCACTACACTAACAGAACTAATAATCATAGCAGTTGACGCGCCCGGAAACGCGAAATAATCAGTCTGTCTGCTTCACCTACCGCGCCCCCTGTCCTCCCATTGCCTCGCTGCGCGGCTGCCTCCGCCAGCGGCGCGGCGGCGACCTTGCGCTGTTTGTGGCGGTCGCACGTGCCGGGCCTTGAACCCCGGTCGCCCGGCAGCTGGCGCGTTCGAGGTCTCAGAGCGGCGGCGGCGGCGGCGCCGGTGCCGTGGGCGGGGGCGGGGCCGGGGGCGCCCTTTAACGATGTTTTCGCGCGCTATACAGAAGCGCGACACGAAGGCCGCGAAGGCGACAGACCGGGGGGGGGGGCGGAGGGGGAGGGGAGAAGACGTTGAGTCGACAAGTGGAAGAGGGGAAGCAGTCAAGCGAAGCACGAAATAGCTTGTTCTCAAGGTGACGTAGATGAAAAGCACAATATAAGCACTGCACACAAAGCACAGCTACGTTACTCAAGCAAAGAAAATAATTGTGTCACTAGGTCGCGTTTGCTTGAAGACAACTGATATTGATGGTGTACTTGCATGTCAGGGAACAGTCTGCTTCAATGGTCTCTTTAAGGCTTTATGGTACGCTCCAAGCTCGCGGATAATCAGGTTACGATCTGTGGAGCAATCTTCTTCCTCTTTCGTTCAATCCAAATAATACGTTAATTACACACCAACACAGAACAGATTTCATAAAACGTTTTAAATCTTGATAGTTGATTTTTATAGTTTTTTGGGTGCTGAATTCGCATGCGAACACTGTTCGTTTCCACAACCCACAGTTTAGTCACAATTTGATGTAATAAGGTATGGGAAAATGTGATAAATATGCACAAAAAAAACCAATAGAACTTCGTTTATATAAGAAGATTGCTTCATATTCGTTACATTCGTAAGTCTACAATTACAATCTTGATGTGTCCATTGACATACATTTTCTTTGTCTCTTTTCTATAAAGCACCTAATATAGATTTTTCTCCTATGAGCCGTTTACATACTCTCTCGGTGAAGTGACGAACAGTAACATCTTATCATGTTGGTTTTCCAGCGTCCATGATAACATTTTCTTTATTTTTAGGTCGTGATGAAAATTCTGACCTTGTTCTTAACTTACATCACGTAAATGATTCCAAAAGAAATGTAAATTACTGTTTAAAAGTAAACCTTGTGATTCGTTAAACATCCCAAATTTGAAAGCGTCTAGCATATTGTCAACGATTTCTTGATAGTCTGGATCTTTTTTATTCCCTAGGAACTTATTTACATGTTTAAATGCAATCCACGCTTCTTTTCATTTACAGTCTTATGTACTACAAATTGGCGATCAGACATATTTTTTCTAATACTAGGGTCAATGAAGATACCCCTCTTTTAATTTTGCTTCAGACAAATATGAAAACTTTCCACAAAGGTATTTGAAATAGAGCCCATTAGTAAGGCCTTCACAAATTGTTTAATGAGGCCTAATTTTTTGCGCAATGGAGGCAGACGAATCTTGTTTTAATCTACCAGATGTTAGAAGAATGGTATTTTTGGGGTTGGCTTTAAAGAGTCTACAGGCCAATTCTTTCTAGACCAATGCTGATGTTGCGCCCTACTACCTACCCATTCACATAAGAAACATGGGAATTTAGTAAAACCCCTTTGCTAGCCAAAAGCATGCATGCTATTTTTAAGCTACGATATATCATTCATCCATTAGCGGAGTAGTTTATTTTCTCTAAAACCACACTGAGGTTTTTGTAACTTTCCTTCATGTGTTGATAAGAACAAAATATTATCTAGATTAACAGTTGCATTAGTCATTGGTGGTCAGGAACAGGCAGATCCAGACTATGGCCTATTGGTTGAATTGCAGATGGAAGGTTAGTATACTGAATTACTTTATTTTTGCTTTTGAGTTGTAACCAGTAACATTAATGTAACAAAAGTAACAATCATCTGAATGATTCCTTGGCTCCCTCCGTACCATTAAAATGAAAAATCTAAAGGATTCTTTCTCCTTTTTGACCATTTTCTAATGTCTTATGTCTCTGATATAACAAACCTTATGTGGCGCCCAAGATTTGTCCTGATCACTACGTTTAATTCCAAAATATGAAAAATATCCATTTCGAACGAAGTCTGTAATATTCCGTTGATGTTTTTAATCACAAATCCGCCAGAAATATTAAAACATGTCAGGACTGTTCTTACAACCACGACTAGCCGTGGCTTACCGTTAATGATTCGGAGTCTCATAAAACCAAGTGCAGATTATGCTTCTTCCCAATACCCGCAGTTTTGATTTTCCTCAAAAAACAAATGACTAACGTATTTAAAACAAAAAATAATTATATAAATACAAATTTGAATTATTTATAATTCCGTAGGACTTGTAATGATGTGACTATTTGCATATGATTAAATTCACGATCAGCTTTGAAGATACTATAAAGGTAGTTCAGTAGGTTAGTTGGTAGATAGGTTGAATTGAATTAAATGCCTTATTTTACGAGGCGAGACTCGGGCCATGAGGCCTGCTCTTCCGTCTGACCACACAAATTTCGCTACGCTCCTTTCACTAACTAGCAGAGGAAGGAGGTATTTCTTGGGCGAGAAACAGGCGATTTGAATTTAGCTCCGAGGCGTCATTTAGGCTTGAGAATATTTTACATGCAAGTAAATCTATTAACATAGACAGCCGGCTTTACTTCCTCTCCGAAGGAAGGCGTACGAAGGATTTTTTCGCCCTTAAAAATCCACGGCTTCGATCGGGTTATATCCCGCCAACTTGGGTACAACAGTGCGATACGCTAACCGTTACACCATCACCGCGCGCGTAGGTTGCAAAATAGGTCAAAATGTAGGCAGGTACTTGCTAGGCACATAAATTCAAAAGTTTAAATCGGTACTGAATACCAATTCTACAAATATTTTATAATAGGGGTTGCATTTACATGTGGCAACTATTGTATGTCTTACATCAGGCGTTTATAATGCTGAAATGTTGCTGCTGGGGATGGCTCGTATGTAGCTCTTCGAGTGTCAAGGAGCGTTAACTGGAGCGCGCAGACGGACAAAATGTCGGCGAGTAATTGTTTCAGATATCGAGAACAGGTGCTTACTCGAATCGTTTCCTCTAATGTGGCTGGAAATGTGACTGGCTTTAGAAGGTTTCTATCAATCCAGAACTGTGACATGACGATAAACAATGTAATGAACAAACCAACTGATTTATCAAAGATCCAATGTCAATATTCTATTATATTAGAAGACGGTGTACATTCTAATTTGGTAAATTTAGTATGTAAAAAGTGGGCAATGTTTTGATTTATTTTGTCAAAGAACAGTAAAAACTGTGTGACGCATTGAGAGTTTTTGATCAGAAAATAAAAGCATACCCTCGCTGAAAGAAAATAAATTCGTTTCACATTCTATCTTTTGAATCGTGCCGGTTAACTTGAACACCGTTCGATCCTGGAGAAGGGGCGTGTTGATCAATAAGAGTATCCGTTGACCGATCAGAGAAGGGGCCCGTTGGTCAAAATTGAGAGCAGTGATAACCTTATTGTCTAGATAGTTGGCGCACATTCCCAAGGGGTAGGAAAGACGCTGTCCTGGGAACGGGGCCTCTTTGTATACGTATGAGGCGGAAATACCGTCATCATTCGCTGTCGTCGGAGAGATTTTGCTTACGCGTACACTATCACGGAAAAATGTTTCTGTGAGGATGTTTTCGGTTGACTGTCAATACACCAATGAATATTTAGTATATTAACAACAGTTATAAAAACTTAAGCCAGGGCTTGATTTCACGGGGAGTGCACCGGACCAGCATTCTGGTATTTCTTCGCGGATGATATGCTTCAGAGAAAAAACAGTGAGCCAACAGAGGTTTTATTACTTTGATTTTTAGGTGAACCAAATTAGATGAATGCAAAATGTATGTATAAACACATTTATATTCTCAAAAGTTTTGAAACTTTTAGAAGGATAAATGTAATTTTGTGCTCTTCTTCTCATTATGTCAATATATCATTAACCGATATCAGAAAACTTCTAATAATTTTTATCAGTAAAATTCTGTCCTACAAATACGCGTAGTAATCTGGAAATGTGGAAACTTTTATAAAATTCTCTTTGTTATTTTTTAGATATATAATGCATTATACTTTAATTTAGTTAAACTGAAAATGAAAGTTATTCATAATAATTTCTCGATACATTAATAAATTACAACAATAAATTCATATAAAAGTAATCAATTTGTCACGTATTGCGAAAACTAATATTTTAGAAATCAAGCGCTATTTAAAGCAATCAAATGGCTTCTCCTGGCAAAACTGCTATTACTCTTTCTCCGTCTGTTACAAACGTTATCGCAACTTGCGGGCTCAAATCCCGAAGAAAAGAAGTACAAAAGGAACGTAAAATTGAAAATATTTCGAGGAGGCTGAAATGTACGTTTTATTGAGCATGTGCTTTTAAAATGACATTAAGGTATTATTCTACAACGTAATGTCTTTTTGCCTTAGATTGAAAGAGAATTTAATGTTCAGGGACTGCAGTCGCTGGTGGAGGGAAGGGTGACGCCCGGGCAGTGGCTCTTCCATCCGTTCCAGGCATCGAAGCCTTGGCGGCTGTTGATGAGCTTGGCACACGTGATGTCATCAGTGATGTCAGAGTCCAAAAGGGCTGCGCAAAGAAATAGTTAAGGGAAGAGGGCACCATGAAATGGGGGAAACTATTAATTTTACTTTCTAAGCTAAATAAATAGCTCAAACCTTGCTCTTTCCAAATATGTCAACATTTTCTTTTACGATGCCAGGAAGTCCCTTTAATATTTATTTAAAGGTCCTTTTTGATATTGAATACAAGAATGACTCATGTTTTCGTAATTTTCAACGTGCGTTAGGCTGTTAATGATTTATTGAAAAATACTCTTTGACATATATTGGTGACATTACCCTTATCGATGAAAAATATGATCCAGGAATGTTGGCTAGAATAGACTTTTTAATTGAAGTTTGCCGACAATGTTCTTTTTACTTTCTCGCCTTACGAATTCTTCGTAAGAAGGAAAGTAATGTAACTGTGTGGTAAGAAACGACGAATATTTGCCAGAAAGAGTCTTATATGGGCCTTGGAAACGAAAAGTGGAAAATTATGTTGCTAAATGGAAGGGGGGAATCATATAACACGTGGTGTAGCCGGAATCCGTTTTGTCAGTTCTTGATACCGAAAATTCGATTGACGGCAAAACGACCGTCCGTCTGTGGCCCGCTACTCTGGGCATAGAGGAATGACTTGTTCACGACGCATCGTGAGTGGCGCATTGTTTCGACTACGACACCAGACTGGAAAGCCGGTAGCTCTGAGCTGACAGGGTGCCTCGACCCAAGCATTAAATGGGTATGTTACCGAGAGGGTAAAATGCGTTCTGGGGGGACCCTGGTACCAGCCTGTCGGCGTACTTGTGCGTCGACATGGGGCGCGGACTAACGCCTAGGTGCCCATCCCGGGGAGAAATCATACATGACCGTCTGCCTCCCCCCCCTCGCTACCAGCGTTGCGACGTTCAGCTGCTCTGCGAGGAAGCCGCCGCACCACATGGCAGTAATACTCGAGCGCGATTTCCTCAAGGCTTGAACTATTCCGACCAAACTGATGTGTTCTATGAATAAAAGAGCTACATAAACTCAAACACTTTATTCACCCAACATGTTTGCAATCATTCAACAACAACTTTACAATTAGAAATCTTCTGAGTCAACAATGTTCAACTCGCACTATGGGGAGTGCTTGTAGCGCGAATGCGCCCTCCGCGCGTGTCTGTGCTATGCCAGTACGAACCGCGGCCCCAGGGTTGGGCCTCCTGTGGAAGAGCGACCTGCACGTGCATCTCCAGGGAGTAGTCTCTCTTGGCGGCTTCCCGTGCGCCCTATGGAACGGTTTGCTGGCTCGGCGCGGTCCACACCGCGCGCTGACCCTTACGACTGCCGCAGAGTCGACTCCTGTGTTGACTGTCCGAGCGGACTGCCCGACTCCCTCTTGGCTGGTGTTGACTCTTGTAGACTGCCTGACGCGCTGGCTGGGGTTGACTGCAGACTGTCCTCTGCAGCTAGCGAGCCCCTCTTTATTCTGGGCGCCGTCGTCAGCTCAGACTCGCTCTGCGCCTGCGCGCTGAAGCGCGTGACTAGTTGGTGCCGCTGCCGCTAAAGTGCGCTGCCATACGGCGCGCTGTCATGCCAGGTGCGCGCCAACTCAAATGGGCATGCATAGACAATGTTGAGGAAATTCCCAACGTGTGCGGCGGTTTCCTTGAGGCCTCGGAGGAGGTGAGAGGCCGAAAAATCCCGAACCAAATTACATTATTTTGTCCTTGAGACCAGCTTTCCCCGATCTCTTGATCACGAGTATGGTTGACTCTCAGTCGTTCTTGGTGATTTCATATCATCAGTCGTGTCTCGCGAATTGTTAACAGAAGTTCTCGCGACGCTTGAGAGTGAACCAGTTTTTTTCCAAGTTGTAAATATTATCATGAACAAAAGTACTGTGTTGATGTGGAAGAAATTCTAGTGGTTTTCCTGGAAGATTTCCTTCAGGAAAAAACGTCAAGAGCACGAGCTGGACGAAGAGCGGGGCACTTCCATCGAATTGGGAACCCCGTTACAACTTTATATTTTGGTATTGAAACTTTCGATTGGATGAAAATGTCCCACTCTCCTTCCACATCGTGGAATATATATATATATATATATATATATATATATATATATATTTGTGGCGTTATGGGATTGGTGCAACCATAACACCAAGTGTTCATCGTGTTAAACACTACGGAAACCAGCGAGGATAACAGGGCGCGTAAAGGCAGGAGGCACTTAAACGCGCGCCTGGTATCCAGTTGCCCGTACTAAAGCGAATGCGACTAGCGAAGCTTAATGGTTTTTCTCTTGGTGAAGGGTGAAAGAGGGAAGCAACCCCCCCCCCATCATGGAGAATTCCCCGCGAGGCCATCCGCGCAATAAATATAGCGAACCCGAGCGGAAGCTCTCTTTTCTTGTCACCACGCGACGAGTAAAGCAGCTGCTGCTTTTGATGTCACTGTCGCACGAGTCAACATTTTCGTTAAACATTAGTTTTAGATATTGTTTGCCGCTGCAGACGACTCACTAGGTAGAGTATTCGGCCGTCTGACAGACGTTCTAGCTAGTCGCCGACCGAATAGTGCAGATTAAGTGTTTTCCACATTAACAACACGGAAGTCAAAGTTACCCGTTGTGAAGGAAAATTAAAAGTTCTCACTGTAAAAGTAGAAGTTAAGCAAACGAGCGAGGAACTTGCACGGGTATTCAGTGAAGTGCATAGGGACATTTTTGCAAGTGGGCTATGTCAGAGGCGCCGTAAGCTAGACGAATGGAAGAAGAAGCAGTGCGGGACTTGGCGCACGAGGAAGCAAGATGATCGACAACGAAGAAGAACGGAAGAGGACGCAAGACACAGACAACCAGAAACGCACCCGCAGGCGCGAATCCCGTTTCTTACGACGGCAGAGCGCGACCGACGGCCGGTAGCGCAGCGACAGCGACGACCAATCAAGGCCACAAGTCCACGCACCTGGTAACAGTTAGGATCCGCAGGAAAAATGGGTCAAGTCACGTCGCAGGAAAAACTTAGTATAGGAAAGTGCTTAAGAATTTGAGGACACGGTGGCAACAATCACGTATTCTAGTAGTGAAAACGCGGTTTTTGATGCCTATTTGCTCCTAAAAACATTTACTTAGGACATTATTATATTTGCTATTGTCAGACCAGTTAAATGTAAATTAGAGTAGTTGGCACTTGCGACACATATTGTTCTTCACAATGTTAATATTTTGAAAACGACGAGATTGTAAAGTTGAATTTTTGATTTCACTGTGAAATGTTATTAGGCATAGCACTAAATTATGATATAATTAATTTTCAAGGAATTCCAGTGTAGTTAGGGTAATTACGTCAAGAGTATCAATCTGAAGTAATAATTATGTGTTTCATTGCACGAATGAGTGTTGTTTGTAAAGGTCTATATTGGTGTTTTGATTATGCTCTTTGGAAAAAGTGTGATTCTATATTCTTGTATGTGTCATTATCTTATGCACTATAAAGTTTATGGTAAATTCATACGCTCGTTTGTGTGCATCTGTGTGATTTTATTGTGCCAGAGGGTTCAAACCTTTCCGAACCTGAAGATCCTGCCTCTAGATTTTTAAAGCTCGCTATCAAGAGCAAAATATTGACAACCTGCTACGGTTCAATGCGTGATACTGGAAGGTGGTCAGTTTGTTGGGGTTAGTAAGGCGATTGTAATGTTAGAATATATATATATATATATATATATATATATATTTATATATATATATTATACTATATTCTCTTTTCAAGCAAAAAGGCTGTACCATATTTCCCGACTTAAAAGGATGTAGTACATTTTCTATCTTACTATCTTGGTGTGCTTTATCTTTTTTTGTACTCTACTTAAGTTAACAGCACACCGAATGCGACCATTCCACTGACATTGATGCTCTACGTTGGAGAATAGTTTTTATGAGCTACAATTATCTCTCTCTCTATGTATATACATATATATATTCTTTTCAAGCAAAAAGGCTGTACCATATTTCCCGACTTAAAAGGATGTAGTACATTTTCTAAAATGTTCATAGCCAAACATTTTATGGTGACTTTTGAGCCGAGGAATGCAGCACTTGTCGTTAGACATCTCCACAATGGCTATAGAAAGGGGTTGGGGACTTAATTCAGATATCCTCACAATAAGCCCAATGTTTAAGTGCCTTTAGCGCAGTGAATCTTTACCTTACTGTAGCGGAGATGGTGAGAGACGGCACCGACCTATAAATCAACTGTGGGGGTCTCTCTCCAGATACGCACCCGGCTGGAAATCGCAAGGGCTAGGCATGTAAGAGTGTGTATAAGAGGAGAGGACACGACAAGAAAGAGGAAGAAAATATAGCGCAAGCTCCATGGCCCGTTTGGTAGGGTACTGCTCCATCATTCGCCTGGTACTGATCCAGAAAATTACAATTTATAAACAATTCTAACTTACGAAAATCTAAATTGGGAAGGATCCTTAATGTCCCTGATCCAAAAACGGTGAATTAACAATTTTTCAACGCTCAACAATTTTATAAACACACTCAACAATTTTAAAAACACATATATTCCAAAAAATGCACTGAAACGACCGGGAAGGGGGACCACAAATCATGTCCGAGATAAAAATTTCAAAATAGCTGTTTGACAAGGGTAACAAATTGATTGCTAAAATTTTCTATAATTGTTGATTAAGTGCAAAATATTTACTCGTCTACACACACGAATTCTGAATCGAAAAAGCCTGCACGGGAATATTTTATTGTCATGGCGTACGCACTGACATATCTGTCCGTCACCAAGGAGATATGACGAATTTTCCATAAGTCCATTTCTCAAAAGTAAATAAACGAAGCCCTGCCCCTGGGACAGACTCTTTCCCGCCCATTGGAATTTTCTATCAATGACAGAGGCACTAAGATTCTAACTGCTAGCAATAGATAGACGTGCCCTTTCTCCGGATCACGGGTTGTCCAAGTATGTCGGTGCGCTTGCGAAGATAGTATTTGAAACGAAAATTTTAATTGCACGAGGGTACATGAAATATTAGTAACATTTCCAAGAGGTTGTAAAACTGGAGTAACCACCGGATAAATTATTTCAGGGCAAGGAAGATTCTGTCAGATTTTTTCACACCTAGTTAAATACCTTGGTCAAATTCAGTCAATATCTGGAGGAGAATTCGAACAACCATTTGGTCTGAGTGGAAGATTTTTCGTGGTTTCTCCATTCAATACGAGGTGAATACTGTAGTAGAACTCTAACAAACCGGCGACGGATCGCGCGCTGTCTTTCCTTCCTCATTCTTTCCCATGCACAACTACTCATTACACATTTTGAGAGACCGGGTGCTTGAAACCAGTCCCAGCTGTGACGGTGCTGCGGTGAGGGATACATTTCTTGGAGAAAATACCCCAGAAGCTGACATGTAGGTCGGTTTCGGAACTCATTTTTCAGTGTGAAACACCCACCCCCGGGAGACATGAAATATTAGTAACATTGCAACAAATATGATACTAATGACCATAGTAGTTGACGCGCCCGTAAACATCAGTCAATCCATGAAACAGAAGTAACTTATGCTTCTTCGGATACTACAGACAATTAGTACACAAGAACGAATTTCTTAAATCCATCTCCATTGAAAATAACACTTTCAGCCCATGAGGTACTGTTTTTAGTTTCTGTGAACATCACTGGCAGTACAAGAATTTCTTAATAATGCTCTACGTCAGTTTGAAAGGAGTTAATTATAACATATCCGGCAAATTCATGGAGCTTCTAGTGTTTTCCCGTCGCCAAAATCTCCTAGAATATCTACGTCCACTTGAAGTTTCCCGTCTGCTCACTCTCCTACTCTTCTGTCTACGTCTCTCACACTCTTCTGGAGATGTCGTCGATTTTTCTCCGTCACAGCCTTCAATTTTCTACATTATTTTTATCCTGTCGAACAGATAGAGCTGCCTTCAATAGTTGGATTATTTTTCACTCATTACTTGTTATCCGTTTTTTGCCATTCAGGTACTTCATATTTGTTTTTTTGCGTTATAACCTTGGATCCTTATCCTTATTTTTGAAATGACAGATGTTTCAAAATTAGTGGCAATTTTTACGTACACTTTTTTAAAATTATATATTTCCTGTCTTGCACTTACTGACCAAAGAAGAGAAAGTATTGTAATCATGCGCCGGAAAACAGCGAATTTTCGACACAAAAACTCATATTGCCTGGTCCTGGTAACGAAAAAGTAGATAAATCCTGTTGCTAAATATAGAAATAAAATTCTTCTAACATATGATCTCGGGCTGATGTTGCGGACCCTAGAATTTGAAACCGAGGTTTTAATCTTATGTGGTACTTTACATTAAGCTCCTTGGACATTTGAAAAATTTTCAAGAAGATGGCACAAACTTTTTTGATTAAATTTAGTTTATGAATAGTGCAAA